TTTTATGAAATGTCTCAAATATGTAATTAAAACACTTGCCTGACCCTATTTATAGTAGAGCAGAGTACAGAAGGAGTATGCATGGGAATATCATTCACACTCCTCCCTCCTTATATTTTAAACAGAACCTGACATACCTGTTACTTGTTCACTTTCTTTTGTGCTTATTTTCAGGGCTGTACCAGCCATTTGATACGTGCATCACCAGTGAATAGAAAATACGTATCTGCATTTTGCTTTTTGTTATGTATGAATGAACACAGCAACACCCACCCTGGTCTGATTGCCCAGGCCAATGCTATTCATGCTGATGGTTTGTAGCATCTCAGAATGTTGTCCAGCAGAAACACTGTGAAATGTTAGTAGAAAATGGACCACACGCAAATCTGCCTCCCCAGGCATACAGTAAGTGCGTGCTACTGTTGCCGTCGGAACTTACGGACAGTCAGGGCTCTTGCAGGCAGGGATAGGACCATGCTAGTATTCTTCCTATTCACCATCTTAAATTAAAATTTATTTAATAGGATCAGTTCTATATGATATTAAAGTTATGTTTGCATTTCAATGCAAAATGTTCTATTTAGGAAGCCACCCTTATCCACCAGCCAGTAAAGGAAAGAAAAAGAAAGATCTATGGAAAGAAAAAAGGGAAGAAAAATGCTCCTCTATTCTCATTTCTAGTAATAACCATGACTAGTAACCTCAGTGGCATTGTAAAAAGTAGAAGACACATGGTACCTAGGTCTGTCTGTTACAGAGATATTTATGTTACACCTACACATCCAGAAATTAGGGCTCGGAATTCTGCCCTCATACAGATGTTACGCTTGCAGAGGTCTACATCTGATCCAGCTATCCAATGCTCCCTCGGTTGTCCACGGGTAGAAATGGACACTTGTGAGGGACAATATAGGTCACGCAAAAGCAGAAGACTTCAGTCGGTCAGATGAGTCATATTACTGAAGTGCATGTTACTCTCTTTTCTGGGGAAGGGGGAAAGCAAATTGATTTACTAGCTTAGTTGCAGACATTTACAGTTAGATCAGAAAAATTACATCAATGGTAACATTGACTAGCCTTTTCCAAGATAATAGCTGAACTCCAGTTCCTGTGGCATTCAAGGATTCTTTTTACCATGGATTGAAAAGGGACAAGATTGATATGGCTTGCTGCATTTATTCAGTGCCCTTTAGGGAAA